GTCCCTGCCCCCTAAACCCCTAAACCCCTTCTCCATTCACTTTGCCTTTGGGCAATTTCCTCCAGAACCTGGGTGGGGGAGGGTGGGGTTCCGGTGTTGAAATGGCATCCTGGACAGACATAAACACCCCACCCACTTTGCCCACTGGCCAAGGGCCTGTGCCTACACCAGCTCCCAGCTCTGGGGATAGCACTGTAACAAAGAGGTGGGGGCAAGGGCTAGGGTAGATCCAGCTTTAAAAGGATAATTTGTAATTCTTGCTAATTTGGGGTAAGTCAAAGAGTGAATTCCATATTAGATAGCTGTGATAGGCCATCTTTGTGATGATCTAAGGTCATGTAATTTGAAGTCATCCAGTCCTATCCTCTGTCCTTTCAGAAGTTTCTCCACCCCCTAGCCTGCTTGCCTTTACTTATATGGCAGGGGTAGGGTGCTGGGTCTGGCCCTAAGATATTGGGAGGCCCCTGCAAAATCTACTTGGAATCTCTTGCCAAAGGCAGAGAGAACAGATGCAGGGAGATGGGTGTTGGGAATAGGGAGGTAGGATGAGGAGAGGGGCAGATAAAGAGGAAGATGAAGGCAGGGGTGAGGGTTTGTTGAGAATGTTAAGCTGCCCACGCAGAAAGGGACCTCTGAGTTCAATTTATCCAACTCCCTGGTTTTATAGATGAGGAAACAGAAGCTCAGAGTAGTGCGATGGCCTTGCCCAACCTCACACTGCTGCTTTGTGGCCGACCAGCAGCTAGAGCCCACATCAAAGAAAGCGGGGGGTGGGGTGTGTGTGTGAAGGGGAGTGTGTATGTATGTAAGGCTCTAAAGGCTATTCCCCAGAAGAGGAGAAAAGAGATTCCACAGAACTGACTGGCCAATATAGGATGTAGACCACCAATAGAGGACCGGAGTATGGACACACAAGAGTGGGATGGGAAGGGGTCTGAGAGGCCAGTACAGGCTAGCAGAGTTAGCTAGTATGTTCCAGACCTGAGCCTGTTATTTCCCAGGTTGGGTGTCACTCTCTGAATGGACATTATAGGATCTTGGTGAAAATCAATCTCATAAACTAGTAACGATAGTGAAAACATCAGTGCAGTTCTTGGTAGTTCTTAATAGGTCTCTGCTATGATTGTCCCTTTAGGAACCCTGGAAGCCTGGCTGTGTGGGTTGGGGTATGGCTGAGATGACCCTGCAGGGACATAGGACAGAGAGGTCCAGTGTACCCAGAGACCATTCCTCCTCTGCTGCCTCCAGCTGATAAACCTCTTATCTGGCACGAGCAGGGGAGCCCAGAGCCAGGATAGGAGGAGAAGGCAGGGCTGCTATCAGCCACCAGGCCTGGGCCATATCTCGGAGAAGGGGAGGGGCTGTCTGCTTGGCTCTTCCCACAACACACTCCTTGGGGATCCCCAAGCACTTACTCTCATCTTGAGAACATGAGACAGAGGAGGAAAACTGAGGACAGAGGAGGAAAGCCAGAGTGATCCCTGATGTTGCCCCAGAACAAGGGAAAAAAACCAAACCAAAACAAACCAGAAGATGTGACTTCTGCCCTGCCCAGCGATACGGTTTTGGGGGAGTAAGAAGTAGGAGGAAGAGAAGGAGGCGTCTTGTCTGAAAAAGAAGGTGAAGCCCTACTGTGCTCCCAAAGGAACCGACTACAGCCACAGCAGGTGAGGCAGAGATCACACCGCAGACAAGCCTTTGCTTAAGGAGTTGGTTGACGAGGACAACATAATGGGGGGGATGAGGCCTGTCCTTCTCTCAGGCGAGGCTGCAGGGAATTCTCCATGGAGGCAGGACAAAATTGCTGGGCACTCGAGGGGCCTTTTCTTTTCTCTTTTTTTTTTTTTCTTTTTTCAAAGCCTGTTTCTCCTTTGCCACAGGTTGCAGGGGCCTTTTGGGCTTTGGGGACCCTGGACCAGGCCCTGGCCCAGTAGGATGCCCCCGTGTCCTCCCCAGCAGAGCAGGAACAGGGTGACACAGTTGCCCACTCTGGAGCTGGGCGAGATGGAACTGACCTGGCAAGAGATCATGTCCATCACTGAGCTGCAGGTGAGCGGGGCTGGGGGAACCTGGGGGAGGGAAGAGCAGAGAAGCAGGGAGGCTGGCTGGGACGAAGGCAGGGGACTGGAGCAAACAGAGAAGCTTCCAGGGACTGGAAAAGGAAGGGTCGGAGTAGGAGGGGGATCCGGATGAAAGACCAGAACATTAAGGGGAAAGGGGTGTAGAGGAGCAGGGGATAAGAGTGGTGGAAGAATCTGATTGGGGGGTGTAAGCGCTCCCAGCAGCCACTCTGCTCACATCATTCTACCCCACCTCCTGCCCCGCCTACCCTTTCTCACCTTCTTCCCTTCTGAACCCCCTCTCCTCCAGTTCTGCCCATCTTCTTCCTTCATTTCCTCCTCTTGCCCTCAGATGCCGGGGCCCCTTTCCCTCAGGTAGTAGAGCAATAGTTCAGGGGCCTCGGGAAGGGGGGTGGTCAGACTATGACGGGGTCCTCGCCTCCTGCTAGTTGGACAAAGGGGTGTCTGTTGGCCTCACAATGATGCCTTTGTCCCCAGCTGGGCTGGAGCACGGTGGCTCCTCCATGTGGATTGGGGGCTCTGTTTCCAGCATGTTCTCTCCTCCTCTCTGCACCTGGGCAGGGACAGAGGGACTGAAGAGGAGAGGGTAGAGCTAGTGCCAGCTCCCCAAGGTGCCTCTTGGCCCCCAGACCTGGCTCTGCCTGCCCCCCCACCCCCCCTTCTCTCCCCTGCCACTGTGCCTGGGTCCTCAGGATCTGCCCTAAGCCCTCCTCCCATGCAGCAGCTCCCTCTGCTGGGCACCCAGGGCATGACCAGGGTCTGAACTTGACCCTTTGACCCCAGATAACCATAGCAGGAAAGGCGTCTGAGGGGGTCATTATAGATAACCACTTCTTGTGTTCCTGAAGGAAATAAAGGAAGAGCAGCCATTTCAACCCAGTCAGAACTTCTGAAGAGGAGATTCCATGTTGTTGCAACATTAGATAGTCTTTTCTGAAGTCGGACTTCAGTGACTTTCATTCAAGTTTAAGCTGCTTTCTGCTTAAAATAGCTGCGCTGCAACCTTACAAGAAGCTTTGGGTGATTTTTTAGCACCTTTCTGTTCCCTTGTTATTATCTCACTGTGTCTTTCAGAAGGACCCAGCTTGATCCTGAGAGAGAGCTGGTTTCTCTTCCTCAGCCTGTCTCCAAAACTTCTTTATGGCTTTTCTTGCAGGGACTAAATGCTCCAAGTGAGACGTCGTTTGAGCCCCCTGCCCAGGCCCCATACCCTGGACCCCCACCGCCTCCAACTTACTGCCCCTGCTCAATCCACCCAGATGCTGGCTTCTCCCTTCCTCCACCACCCTATGAGCTCCCAGCACCCACATCTCATGTCCCAGACCCCTCATACTCCTATGGCAACATGGCCATACCAGTCTCCAAGCCACTGACTCTCTCCGGTCTGCTCAGTGAGCCCCTCTCAGATCCTTTGGCTCTCCTGGACATTGGGCTGCCAGGGGGGCCCCCCAAGCCTCAAGAAGACCCAGAATCTGACTCAGGATTATCCCTCAACTATAGCGATGCTGAATCTCTTGAGCTGGAGGGGACAGAGGCTGGCCGACGGCGCGGCGAGTATGTAGAGATGTACCCGGTGGAGTACCCCTACTCACTTATGCCCAATTCCTTAGCCCACCCCAACTATGCCTTGCCACCTGCAGAGACCCCCTTAGCCTTAGAACCCTCCTCAGGCCCTGTGCGGGCCAAGTCCACTGCACGGGGGGAGGCGGGGAGTCGGGATGAGCGACGGGCCCTGGCCATGAAGATTCCCTTCCCGACGGACAAGATTGTCAACTTGCCGGTAGATGACTTTAATGAGCTGTTGGCGCGGTACCCACTGACGGAGAGCCAGCTGGCATTGGTCCGGGACATCCGACGGCGGGGTAAGAACAAGGTGGCCGCCCAGAACTGTCGCAAGAGAAAGTTGGAGACCATCGTGCAGTTGGAGCGGGAACTGGAGAGGCTGGGCAGCGAGCGGGAGCGGCTCCTCCGGGCCAGAGGGGAGGCCGACCGGACCCTGGAGGTCATGCGCCAACAGCTGACAGAGCTGTACTGTGACATATTCCAGCACCTGCGGGATGAAGCCGGCAACAGCTACTCCCCTGAAGAGTATGCTTTGCAACAGGCCGCTGATGGGGCCATCTTCCTGGTGCCCCGGGGGACCAAGATGGAGGCCACAGACTGAGCTGGCCGAAGGGGTGGGACTGTGATGGAGATTTCCTTTAGTCCCTTCCGATTAAGGTACTCCCCAACCCTGAGGCCCAGAAGGAACTGGGTTCTCTAGACCAGAAGGGGACAGTGAGAACCTGGCGTTTGGAGGGTCCACAGCGTGTTCAGGAAGGCTTGCCTTGAGACAAGCACGTGAGGGGAGGGTTGGAATCTCTTTGCCGTGATTCAGCTTCCCGGGGCTGCAACCTCCTCCTCTTGTTTGAGCTTTGATATATAAAGCGCTCTACACTAATAGCCTTCCACTGTGTCTTCCTTCTCGAGAGCTGAGCACTTCAAGTTCACCGCTTGGTGGTGATGGGGAGGGAACCCTGCCAGGCTCGTTTCTTTCCCCTACAGCTCTGTATGAGAGAGGTATGCAAGAAATTTGGGCTTGAGCAGTGTGGAGATCTACCTGCTTAATCTCCTTTTGCAGAGCCAGGCGCCATGGATGATCTGAAGAAGCCCACCCTCCCTGGTGGCCCAGGATTCAGAGAGCTGAGATTGCGGCCCAAACTGACTGCACCCTCGGTGCAAGGTCTCTGAAGTTTAGGCCTCTCCTTTCCCAATCTTTGGAGCAACAGAAAAGCCTAGAATGCCCACAGGCCTTTTTCTTGTTCTCTCCCTGCTGTCTACTTCCGCAGGACTTCCTCATCATGATTGTGCCAGAGCTCTATTCAGAAGACTGAGATGGTCTTGATTGGAATGAGATAGTTTGATTGGCCATCAGAGTTTCAAGGGATTTCATACCCAAGTCTGGGCAAAATCTGCTCCAGCATGGAGCAGGATATGAATTTTGGTAACATTTTCTATCTCCTTGGTTATGTTAGACACATTACCCTGCTCTTGTTTGGGGCCCTCCCTTTTCTAGATCCTTGAAGATCTAGGGCCTCTTATTTTTCTCTTGAAGCAGAACATGATTGAATGTCAGAATCTGGGGTACCTGGGTGGCTCAGTTGGTTAAGCATCTGACTCTGGATTTGGGCTCAGGTCATGGTCTCCCAGTTTGTGAGTTCGAGTCCTGCCTTAGGCTCTGCGCAGAGCCTACTTGGGATTCTCTGGTCTCTCTCTCTCTCTCTCTGGCCCTCAGTCTCTCAAAAAGAAACATATAGAAACAAGTTTCAGAATCCATCACATCAAAATCCAAACTTTTGACATGACACCTTCATCTCCTAAGTTAGAGTCAGGTGGTTCCCCATCTTTCTAGTCATTGAATTATACCAATTACCTCTTTAGGGTATTTTACTTCTATTTACCTTTCTATTCAATTTGACTAGCTCCATTCCAACAAGGAAAACTTACTTTCAAGTTCTCATAGACAGTTGTGAGACATAAAAGGCAGTGATCAAAAGAGGTGTGGAATCCTTATGCCTATAGATTCTCAGGAACATGGTCTCTAGCCTAGGTTTAGGGAATGAAAGCAACTTAAAAGCTGATTCCTAGTTGATCTTTTAAAAACAGTTCAGACAACTTGTTGACTTTAAAAAAAAAAAAAAAAATTGAAAACGTCGGATCTAGTTGTGAAGGGCAGAGCCTGGGATTAGCTGTTCAGAACTTGGACTAGTTTGGGACACCTGGGTGGCTCAGTCCGTTAAGCGTCTGACTTCAGCCCAGGTCATGATCCCACACTTTGTGGGTTTGAGCCTCGTATCAGGCTCTGCTGACATCTCGGAGGCTGGAGCCTGCTTCAGATTCTGTGTCTCCCTCTCTCTCTGCCCCTCCCTGCTTGCACTCTGTCTCCCAAAAATAAATAAATATTAAAAAAACAAAAACTGGATTAGTTCACCTGAGGGAACATCGGGCAGTGACTTTTTTTTTTTTTTTTTACTTCTAACCAAATTCACAAAAGTGGTTAACCCGGAGGCAAAATCAGACCTTCATTTATTCAACACTTACTGAGCACCTGAGTTCTGGAGATACACCGGGGATGCAAACAGCTAACAGGAGAAATGCCAAGCGCTCAAGATATACCGTAGTGCGGAAGACCACCACGTATGCACACAACTTGGTACGTGGCTACCCAAAGCAACGGGTGGAACACCGGTGGACTGTGACCTGGGTTATATGTTTCAGATTGTAGAACTTCAACAAGGTAATTTTCCTCATCTAAAGAGTATGGGATTTTTTAACAATCTTGTATTTGTAAAACATGTAGCAAAATACACAGAACGGAAGAGGCATTAACCTCACTTTTAATAGGAACGCTTTTTGCAGTCTGGTGGCCTGAGTTGCTGTAACTTCATGTCACAAATTAGATTTTTTAAAGAGCCTGAAATGGGGAGAGGGGCAAGAGGGAGAAATCTTAAGCAGGCTCCAACGCTCAGACTGACATTGACACAGGGTTTGATGCCACCATCCTCAAAGCATGACCTGAACAAAAACGGGGATGTTTGACTGAGCCACCCACGCCCCTTCAAAATTTGATTCTTAAAACTGTGGTAAGTGAAGGCTGCCTATACATTCACAGCTCAATACCCCTCTTTTGCTAGGTTTAAAATCGAGGCTGGATAACCTTTTCTTTAGCATTAGGGGACATTTGTTAAGCATTTGCTAGGGGATTATATTATTGCGCCCAAGCTTTTGATTACCTTGGAAACACGGAGACTTCCTTCCCTTCCATACTCCTCTAATCCTGGTTCCAGATATTTTAGGAACCGGAGATAGCTGGCAATAAATACTTGCGGAGGCCACTGTAAACACCCTACTTCTAACTAGGCTAAGATTTACTCCTGCGCTCAGAGCCAGTTTTTGCTTTCACTAAACCAGGATCCTGATAGTGTAAAACTTCTATAGTAACACCTGGTATGCCTGGGTGGCTCAAATGGTTAAGCATCCAACTTTGGCTCAGGTCACCATCTTGCGGCTCAAGCCCCGTCTGCTCTGGACTGCCCTCAGAGCCAGGAGCCTGCTTCGGATTCTGTCTCCCTCTCTCTCAAACCAATTGTTCCTCCCTAATCTCAACTCAACCTGTGGTTTTGTTTTAAAGTGTTTATGTTGTTCTACCTTTCTTTACCCACCTACATAAGGTCTTGCTTGTTCCTTTATTTTTTTAGTTTATTTTTCAGAGAGAGAGCATAAGCAAGGGAGGGGCAGACAAGGAGACACAGAATCTGAAGCAGGCTCCAAGGCTGTCAGTACAGAGCCCAGCTTGAACTCACAAACTGTGAGATCATGACCTGAGCTGAAGTCACCCAGGCACCCCCATTACTTTAAGTTTAGAAGGATCCAAGTAAGAATTAGAAAGGAACAAAGGGGAAAGACTTCAACTCTGCTAAAAATTCTGATTTACCATATCATGAAAGTGAACGAAACAAGACAGAACCAAGTCGAAATCAAAAGAAATTTTATTTAAAAAGTCCATTCATAAAACTGAATGATTAATTCAAGCTGCAGAACAGCTAACAACTACATGGTAGTGAAAATGAAGTGCAGTGGCTCAGATAAAGGTTGTCCTCATAAGGATGTTCCTGCCAAAAAAAAAAAAAAAAAAAAGTTATGAGGCATTTGCATAAGCATTTGGAAGATCCTACAATTATACTGTTCTGTTGACTGGGAACCCAGCTGCTTTAATCACTTTTTGCTGGCTATGGCCTTTTACTAGACCAGACTATGAAAGTTTTTGTTCTCAGGTACAGCTCGTCACGGTCTACTCTGGCAATACCAAGCACTCTGGGTGCCTGTTAAGTTTGTAAACAGCTTACCTTTTAGCCATAAATTTGGACAGATGAGTTTGTTTTGTTTTATATTTTTAAAGAGAGTTGATTAGCCTGGAGTAGCAGACTCCTCCCTAGAAAAGTAAACAACTTTTAGAACTAGCTTTTTGGGAGACCAAGTCCCAGCTCAGGGTAAACCCCCCACCTCCCCCTCCCCAAAAGGGTCCACCCTCCCTCCCCCCAGACTTTTGGGAAGATTCTAACACATTACTTTGAGCCATCGTTTTAAGGAAATGGGTCAAAGGAAGGTAGGAAATAAAATTAAAGGGCAAAATTATATTGTCACAGAATTAAAGTGTTTACTTCCTTCATTTGGGAGCCACCAAATCTAGGGTGTCAATTTAAGAAAATTCATCTCCAGAAAAACCAAGTTCAGCTTAACTGGACTAGTTTTGGCTCAATATATGAAGGATTAATGTTAACAGAAAACTGGATTTTAGAGAACACTATATGGATGGAAGTAAAATCTGTTCTTACCTACCAGCATAGCAATAAAACCTTTTCTCCTGGTTCTGACTGCTAGTCCTAAGAGTCAGGTGTGCCTTACTCTTGTCTGCCTCCTTTCTCGCGATGGTCACTGAAACTTCACTCCCTCCTAGCTTTCATGGAGCGTGCCGTGGCCTGCCCCTGGCTTATCTGTACTCCACATACCACAAGTGTCTACTCTCAGCTGTAGAGTGTCTGAGCTCGGAGCCATTCGCGCTATGCTTGCTAGCAGTTCCTAGTAGCTGAACATCTCTCCTGGATCTTTAAAGGCATTGTCACGAATCCTGAGGTATCTGCAAACTCCCTCAATAGTTAAGGTTCCACCTGCCATTGCAAACTCAGCCAATATCAAACTCACGGAACTATCACCCATGCTTTCCCACCCACCTCCCACCCGCTCCCCCCTCCGCCCTCCTCCCCAAACTTCCAAGTAACACACCCACGAAATTGGGAGGGAATACACAGTCCTAGTGATAAACAATTCTCTATGCTACCAGGTACAATGGCACTGAAATTGAGGGTACCAAAGGAAGGGCTCAAAAGAACCTATGTAACAAATAACAATGATTGGATATTAAGTGACTGTAAAAAGGCTTCAGAAATCATTTTCTATACAATTAACATTTTAGGATGGTTGTGTGATGTACCATATTTAAAGGAAAACTGCAGTTAGCGTGAATATAGTAAGTTGCCTCCCCATCTCCGCAATTTTAATGTCCAAATCGGTAATTAGTACAGTTCATCTATAGACCTCTATTAAGGACCCACCCAACCACAAAACTGCTGTTTTCCTTTAATGTAAGCCTGTTTTTGTATTAAAAAGAAGATATTCTTACTGGTGCTGGTCAGTTTAAAAAGGTCTCCCAAACACTTCTAATCTGTGGACTTATGGGGTGGCATTAGCCAGCAGCTGGTTTCTATTCTCTGGCAGAGTTTTGAACTTGAATCGTGATAGAAGCATTCAACATTATGAGGGGTAGTGGGTAGGGAAAGTCCAAAGCTCTGCCAGTCCCAAATCCATACAGTTGTCATTCCATTCAAGAGAATATTAAATCGTTTATTGATTACACATGATAATGGACGATACACAAGCTTTAATCCCATCTATAATTTTATCTGATACCATAATTCAATTTAGATATATTGCATAGGATGTGCCAACAATCATATTAATAACCAAATAAACTCCAGGACTTTGCTTGGGTGACCCTTTTAACGGTGAACTCCAGGTCACAACACATTAACTGTCAGTTCAACCACACCAATGTTTGTGGAGACAACGGCTTCTGTGCCCAAGCAGGTTGCAAATAAATTTCAAATGGAACCTGGCATCACCCTGATGGAATTCTAACTTCACACTGTTGGGGTAGTTAACCAAGATGGCTTCAGAGTAGACTAACTTTACACAGCACATTTAAAAAAAGACACATTTATTCAGCGTCATGATCAGACTATTACATTTAGCAATCAACAGCATGGGTGCAAAAAAAAAAATCTACATTAAAACCCTTTGTTGGAATGCTTTACACTTTCCACAGAACAGAAACTAAAATAACCTGTTATACAATTAGTCACAAATACAGTCCTCGAGTTTTTTGCCCATACACATGAGTATTGTCTAAAACATGTCTTCTTTGTAGCAGCTAGGCCCTGCCACCACTGTGCTTGGCTGAGTTCACAAATCTGTTGTAACCTGTAGCTTCCCTGTCACTTCTCTGGCTCTCCTCTCCTGCTAAGCTTTGTTTCCTGTTGAACAATATGGAATAAAGTTGTTAATCTAAACATATTAAGACTCAAGGCTACAATCCAATAGCAAGTTTTGTTTCCCACAAATTTTGCTGATCTGAATATTAACTTAATATCCACAATTTTACTGCAATTATAATGTTAACTATGTTGCACTGCTCAGCTATATTAGGGTTACTGGATTCATCATCATTTATAAAAGTTAACTTCAAACATAAAAAGATGTTTACTTACCTGGCAGTAATTAAAACCTTCTGCCACTGCCATAGCTACTGCTGCTGCTGGAACCGCCATAGCCACCTAAGAATAGAATTTGTCCCTTTAAGCTTTGGAAGCACAAATAGAAACACTTTTTGTATCAGGGGCAATAAAGCCTCAGATCTGAGTTCGGGCGCACATGATTTTCCCAATCTGATTAAGTTCTTGAAAAGCTTTTAGATTGTAGCTTTTCACGGTCTACACACACCTCACCCCAAAATTACTGGACCTGGTTATGGGTACCTCACCCTCTAATAAACATATATACAATACCTTGGTTTCGTGGTTTGGCAAAGTATTGGCCTCCACCACCATAGGGGCCAGAGCTTCTGCCTCCAAAATTTCCTCCTTTCATGGGTCCAAAATTTGAAGATTGATTGTTGTAATTGCCAAAATCATTATAGCTTCCACCACCTCCAAAGTTGCTTCCTAGAAACGGAAAGAGGACCTTTATTTGTTATTTGGAGAAGATGGTTAAGTTCTGAATTCTATTTAGTGCTCAGAGCAAAAAATGTTGCATGATCTGCTTGCCTTCCTCCCAAACTCTGGTGGCTCCAATCATCCTTTTCTGGGCAAGGCACTCAGTTGAATAACTCAGTACTTTTAATAAAATTTACCCAACTTACCATGGCATAATAGCAATATATTCTGTAGGCTTGAAGGTCTGTGCCCATCCGGGGCACTGCAAACACATGCTGGATGTATCAACTAAGTGCCTAGGATCCCAAGGGAGTTAAGACAACTAAATCCTGCTGGAAGCTAATCTAATTCTGATTAAAGACAGGACTATCCACTTATCCATCTATCTTATTTGGGAGTGAGGCGGCCCCAGCTTAAAGCTAGGAGGTAGCATTAGCAAGCCCGTTAAAAAAGAACACCATGCATTGCACCACATAATGCTTTTTAAGAGCATCAAATCCCCTTATGATCATAAACTCTAAAGAGCTAATCTAACTATTGCACCAAGTACTTGGATCACTGGATACCTACCACTACCACCGCCAAAGCCGCCTCCGCCTCCTCCGTTGTTATAGCTGTCATAGCTGCCACTCCCGCCATAGCCACTGCCCTGGTTTCCATAACCCTGTCCACCACTTCCATAGCCTCTGCTTCCTCCAGAGTAACCAGGGCCGCCTCCTCCATAACCACCTACAAGAATACAATTCTTCTCAATAAGACAAAAGTATTCAACAATCAAAACCTGTGCAAGTGTAACACCTAAAAGCCTGCTCACAGCATGCGGTTATGGTCAGAGCTGAGCTGGTCATGCACTACTTTAGCTCTACTACCCTACTCTAGAGATTCCAAAACAAACTTTTCACCTACGTACCCAAGATAAACTTACCATCGTTACCAAATCCGTTATAGCCATCCCCACTGCCACCATATCCACCACCACCTCGACTGCCGCCAAAGCCACCTGGAAAAAAGTAGAGTTTTAACCACTTTCTGAGGTGTATTGGCTGCATACAAATTATACCCTTCCTAAATTCAAGTTTTCTGAAACCCCCCCTGGGTCACAAAAATGATTTCTATACTGAAGACTTAACCCTCCAGTAAGAAGCCACAACACCTGGATAAAAATTAACTTTGGAAAAGCTGGCCCATAGGTACATCCACCATAGGTTGCAAGTGGACAAGTTATCTGGGGATTGTCAAATGACAAGCTTACTATTAATTTTCAGCAAACTATATATAACCACACGTACCTCGCCCACTGAAGTTTCCTCCACGGCCAAAGTTGTCATTCCCACCAAAACCACCTCCACGACCACCACCGAAGTTCCCAGAACCACTTCGACCTTGAAAGAGAAGTTTGAAGTGTTAAACCCACAGATTCGAATGACTTCGTTGCCTGTAAGATCTAATTAAACAAACTCACCTCTTTGGCTGGAAGAAGCACTAGCCATCTCTTGCTTAGATAAAGCTTTCCTTACTTCACAGTTGTGGCCGTTCACAGTATGGTATTTTTGAACTAAAAAAAATTTAAAAGAGAACACAATCTCAAAGACTAGAATACAGCACGGGTTTCAGAAACCTTAGCGAGTTGCATGCCCCGGAGACTTACTGACAATCTTGTCTACAGAGTCATGGTCATCAAAGGTCACAAAAGCAAAGCCTCTCTTTTTGCCACTGCCTCGGTCAGTCATGATTTCAATCACTTCAATTTTCCCATACTGTTCAAAATAATCTCTTAGATGATGTTCTTCAGTGTCTTCTTTAATGCCACCGACAAAAATCTTTTTCACAGTTAAGTGGGCACCAGGTCTTTGAGAATCCTAATGAGAAAGCCCAATTAATTTACTTCCCAATAAAACTATCCTTTATCAAGATCATTAAGAAGTTTAACATCCCCAAACGCAAAGTCCGCTTAGTGGCACACTTTTAAATAACCGAGAAAAGAACTAGATCACTCACTTCTCTCGAGACAGCCCTCTTTGGTTCCACAACTCTTCCATCCACCTTGTGTGGCCTTGCATTCATGGCTGCATCCACCTCTTCCACAGTGGCATAGGTGACAAACCCAAAGCCTCTGGAGCGCTTGGTGTTTGGATCTCTCATTACCTGAAACGTTAATAAAATTTACTACATAATAAAACCCCAGAGACTACTGTCATTTCTACCATGAGTAAATACAAGGCCCTTCAGTTTCCCACTAAATTAACAAGGGAGCCTCTAATCAGCTAAAGCCACACCTTCCCTTGCCAGATTATTTTCAACCATAATCCCGTTAACAATCTTCACAAGTAATCACAACAAGATAATCCAAAGAAATCAACTAGTCCTACTGGCCTTTTGTCTCTTCTAAGTCTTACCACACAGTCCGTAAGCGTTCCCCATTGCTCAAAATGGCTCCTCAGACTCTCATCGGTTGTTTCAAAGCTCAAACCTCCAATGAAAAGCTTCCGCAGCTGTTCAGGCTCTTTGGGAGACTAGGAGTCGGGGGAAAAAATCATTACGTGGGGGGGGTTACAACACAAAAAAGCTTCCAGTTAGGAGAAGCAAAGCTACACGACAATGATACATAGTACTTATTGTTCCTTTGGGTCGCCGCAAGCCACGTGCTTCTCCCCATTAGGGGAGACGATATGTTGGGGGCTGGGAAGCCCCGAGCGCATGCGTCCCAACTCTCCCTCCGACGCACGCGCAACAAAAGGACGGAGCTGGAAGAATACAGAGCCAATAGAGAACTACATCTGCTCCTTAAGAAAATCGTCCCCTGATACAAGGTGAAAAAATAAAAGGAAACAAAACAATCGAATATGCATAAGGGTTTTGCCAGGAGGAACAAGCCCGGAGTGAAAACTAAGTGTTGCAAGACGGCGGCCTCATGGCGACGACGAGGACAAAATGGCGACCCGAACTTTGGGAGGGGTAGGCCCTTGGCAGCAACGGAAGAAATGCCGAGCCAGAGCCGGCGCAAGCAGCCAAACCAAACCACATCCCACCGAATTCAGTAACGGCGAGAAAGAAAATTAGGCCGAAGAGAGCGTGTTACTCACCTCTGACTTAGACATGACGGCGGTGGGAGGGGAGACTTTCACGATGCTTCCTCGGCGGCGTCCACGGGCAGAAAGGAGTAATCTAACGAACGTATCTGCCAGCCTACCTTCTGCCTCGCTTTTTTATCCCGCCTCCTCGCTTCAGGCATTGGTAGACTCCGCCCCTGAGTGTCTCTGATTGGATATTTGCAGCAGCTGCCCCCCTGCTATTGGTCTGTAGTGCCGCATTGCTGTGTAACGTCATCCGTTTGGGCGTTCTACGCAGTCTCCACCCCTTAGTGTTCATTGGTTCCTGAACAATATTACTCTTAGCCAGTGTGATTGGCTCGCCAACCAATCATTCATATTTGAATGTATCTAAGGTATTTAAATAATTTTTCAGTCCTTCGCGCCCCGAAATTACGCTCAACTCACTTGGCAAAACATGATTAATACTATGTATTAGGAAAGAAGTTATGAGGTGACTGTTTTCTTTCTTTTTTTGCAACGACCGCCCACTAAGCGCATGTGTAGTAAAATGGCGAGTTTACGCAAGCGCATTAAGAAGTTCCGCTGGGCGCTTGGAACACGTGAAATGGCGGGCGGGAGACGGCGGCGAATCTACAGCGCTTGCGTAGTGGCGGGAGTTGTGCCTTGTTTTGCGCAGGCGTAATGGGCGGAGAAAGGGTACGGTCCCAGGATTGGTCGCGCAGGCGCAGGGAAGGATCCGTTTTGGCGGGCGGTTGGCGTTGCGCAGAAGGCGGCGGCGGCACTGTCTTGTGGTCCTGCTTCACCACAGAGGAACAGGGAAGACGTTTGCGTGAGTGATCGGTGTCGATTCCGGGTAAGTGACGGATAGTCTTGCCTACCCATACGAGGTCTTGAACTGACTCCAATTGGGCCCGTTATTGTGTGAAATGAATGGACCGCGGGGTGGGGGCTCGTGAAGGGGGAGCGGTGGGTCCGGCCAACCAATGGAAGAACAGGGGCGGGATGTTTTATTCCTGTAAGTTCTGTGGCGCTGTGCCGCCGGAGGGCTTGACTGGCTTGTGTTTAGGCCAATTGGGTCCGCCCTTAGCTGCCGACTGATCGGTCCTTGGGCCATCGGAATGTGGGAGGCGGGTTTCCCGCTCCTGAGCAGCGGCTCCCTGAGCCAATGAGCACGGAGCGCGCGGTAGGTTGGGCTCATCCAAGAGGCAGCGGATTGACTCCAATGGGGAATGCGGGAGTCGGGCGGTTAAATGGATGGACCAAATTTGGAGCCAGTAGACGGATAGCCTACTGGAAGCGCTCGGGCAGGTCGTCCAATCAGCGGTCCAGAAGAGGGAGGTCTTAACGTTAGAGGTTGTGAAGAAGGGGATTCAATGCCTGTGATGGCGCGGCAGCGCATATTTTATCCGCTGTGACTTCTCTAACGAATCCTTTAGGCCTCCGTCCCATACACCTTTCTTGTAGGGAAACTATAAGTTCTGTCCCCACACTTTTGGTTTTGAGGGGAGCAAGGTAGGTCTTTGGGACCTCGCTTCTTTAGGAAGACTGACTTGAAATGTTAGAACCAGTAGGATAAATCTATACTGTCGTGGAAAGGCACCCGAGAAAAATCTGCATCGTGAAGCACCTTTCCACGGACAAATGGGTATTTGTAAATCCATAGAAAAAGTTTTGGAAGGCTACATACCGAAGTGTGTTACCTCTATAGACAGAGTGGGATCTAGGCAGGTTGGTGTCTGCTGTTTAAGCCTTTTCAGGGATCGTAATTTGTGATTAAATAAAGATTAGATTAAAAAGTCAACTTTTGTGTTTCCAGTCATAATCACGGGCTTCTCACAGCCTCTTTTATCCTTACACCTCGATAGAGTTGTTTTTCCCCTAAGAACTAAGGTGATCCTCAGTATAAAAATACAAATATTAAAAAGGTAACGTTTATTTGACTACTTAGTACCTACTAGACAGGCTAAACTAAGCGCCTTACAAGCATTATTCATGTCTCAGTGCCTTTATCTTTGTCTCTGACGCCTTCCCCCCCGCCCCCCATGTAGATCTTTCTTTACACCACTAAAGAGTTTCTAAGCTCTCTTTCTTCTCTTCCTTTGAGGATGTCTGGATTTTGATAAGGAAGTTGCTTAACAAGGGGGATATTTAGGGTGTTAGAGACAGGACTCATCCATCACCTGGATTATTCCATTGCCTTTTGATTATATTTCCTTCAAAATATTTATTTTACAGGAGCTGTAATCACCTGTTGGTAATACCTAGTCAGCTGATTTGAAGATGTTTCAGTAAAATAGTGACATTTTCATTACATAATGGCCATATAAGAATCTAAATTGCTCTGTTGTTGTTCACTGATGTATTTAAGGTTAATAGAAGTACTGTTAATAAGTTCAACTACATATGAAGTAAGCTTCTGATTAGAGACCTTTGTGACATTGTACAAAAGAAAGTTTAGCTGCCCGGAGGAGAGAGTCTCTGACACTTGGCAAGAAGACAAATTTATTTCATATTTGGTTGTAAACTGTAGGTATGCTAATTATGCACTTTTTTCTGCTTAGTTTATAAAGAAAGATACAGATTAAGGTTATCTATCTCTATTTTATTTAGGTTTAAAAGGAATACCATCTTGATCTATTACAGGGTTTCTTGACCTCAGCATATTGACATTTTGAGCCAACAAATGCATCTCACCTCATCCGTCACCTCCATTTGTGACTATCAAAATGTCTCCACGCATTGCCAGATGTCCTGGGGTTGTTGGTGGTGGTGATGCAAAATCTTCCTCAGTTGAAAACCTTTGATTTAGGGGTGCCTGGCTGATTTGGTTGGAGGAGCATATGCTCCTGATCTTAGGGTCATGACTTTGAGCCCCAAATTGGGTGTAGAGATTACTAAAAAATAAAGAAACTTTAAAAAAAAAAAAAAACCACGTTGATTTAAAACGATATGCTGGGAGCTGGGACTGGCTCAGTGGAGGAATGTGACTATTGATCTCAGGATCATAGGCTCCAGCCCCAACTTGGGTGTAGAGATTACTTTAAAACATAAAAATAAATAAAATGATAGATGCTGAAATTTTTGTCAAAATCTTTCATTTTAATAATTGGAAATTAGACAAAGACCGGTAAAGTGTTTAGAAAGTAGTCTTTGGTGAATGGATCACTAAATCCTTTTTTTTTTTTTTTTTTTTAAATTTTTTTTTTTTCAAAGTTTATTTATTTTTGGGACAGAGAGAGATGGAGCATGAACGGGGGAGGGGCAGAGAGAGAGGGAGACACAGAATGGGAAACAAGCTCCAGGCTCCCAGCCATCAGCCCAGAGCCTGACGTGGGGCTCGAACTCCCAGACCGCGAGATCGTGACCTGGCTGAAGTCGGACGCTTAACCGACTGCGCCACCCAGGCGCCCCGGATCACTAAATCCTAATGGATATCTCTTCATATGTAGAGTGATCTTTGTTCCATTGGATAAAAGGACAATTTCATTAAATTTTTACCATTTCTTGAAGTTTAAACACGATTGCATCCAGTGTTTGTTTGGCTTCCTAAAATATTAGCAAATATTTTTTGTAAGAAGGTGGACCTTGCGTTAGATGCTTCTTAGATTTTTTGCCTGCTTTAAACCTCTTTTCTTTACTGAATTCTTTTGGATCAGAGAGTTTTACCCTGACCCTGTACACATATTGAAATAGGCTTTACTATATAAATACACGTGCAAAGCACTTTGGTATTTTCTCATCTGCAGTACACGATTTCATTTTCTTAGAAATAGAGGTCAGTTTCTGCTGATTTCATGGCCCTAAACTCACAGTTTGGGGAAAAAAAGCTGATCTGAAGAAAGAACCAAATCATGCTTCTTACATTACTCTGAATGGATTCCTTCTATCTCCAGCCTGAGCTGCTTGGATTTATAAACAAATTAACCTGTGGTCCGTTATTTGACGATTTTAGTGATATATTTTAATTTGAAAGATTTCAGGATTTGAATACAGGCTTCTTGGTTTACTGTGGTATGCAAGTACAAATTGCTTTTTTGTGAATTCTCTTACAATGTCAGTTAATAGGTCTGATGAACATTTCTCTCTCTGGTGGGTAATTTTTCATTGAAATTCGGAGACTATCAGATTGAAAATCTTAAGTTTAGGCTTATTTCTTGCCATCAGAGAACCTGGTCTGGTTGTTCATTTGTACCGGTGTGTTAATAAAACAAGATGTTTAGCTTATGTTACAAAAATTAAGTTTCAAGTGGTTATGCTTAGAACTTAGGGGTATACTATTGCCACCAAACCTGAAAGGGAAAATAACACATCTTCACTGGTCTGTCTGAAAACCAATACAAAGAAAGCGATCTGGATAGTAGGTGAGCGGGGTGATGGTTGGGGCAAAAAAGAAAGAAAGAACATGCCTCTGCAGTGACTGGATTTTAATATGTCTAGGAAAGTTTTGGTGGTTTTCAGACCCCTTGATAGTGGCTCTAGAAAAGAGAAAAGGAATATAGGATACAAAGATTTCTGAGGAAGGTTAGATTAGCATTTTTTATTTAAGTTATATAATTTAACCACAAAGCACGATTTATATATCTTACTGGAATAGCCCATTTAATAATTCTCGGTAAAGCATCTCTTTCCTTTCCTTGTTCTTTTGCTCAGTCTATTTTTATTTCCATTTACCTTACATGAAATTAGGCTTAAAGCTGTGTGCTGTGGATATTGATTTTAAGAGTAGTGAATTACAATGTGAGCTATCACTTGTAACTGACTTAGTATGGCTGGTATTTACACGTTGTTATTCATGAACTTGGACTCTGGGCAATTATCTTTTTTCCCTGACATAACTTTGATTTTCCTTTCCTCCTTATAAAGGATGCCTTTAACTGATCATTGTACTAATGGGAAAGAGTCCAGGTCATCCTGAGAAGAGTTGGCTTGTGCAGAGTCCAAGATACAGCTTTGTTGGATTTCTGTAAGCTACTCGAAGCCACATATTCATTTCTGATGACAACTTTACACTTGTGTTGGCAGAACACCCACAGTGACAACTGGTGCCTATGTTTAGTCTGTCCAGGAGCTCTACCAGTTAACATGTTTGGGGAAAAACCTACACTGTTCTTGTTAGCAGCTATGTAAATACTAGACCTCGCTGAGTTTGTCTTCCTGGATCT